TTGTCTACCAGGCACTTGTTGGCTTGATAGGTATGCAGTAAGATTAAGTGGACTCTAGGTGATTCCTGGGGGACAAAGTAGTCAGTCTATAGGGATTAAGAAACATGTGCTTAGTATATAGTATATATAGTGTAAAAGCAGAGAGATACAGACTACATACAGCATAGGAGTCCCTGGGTTAACATGCTCAGCTGCTAACCAACAGGTTGGAAGTTCGAGTCCACCCAGAGGCACCTCGGAAGAAAGGCCTAGTGATTTACTTCCAAAAAATGGGCCACTGAAAACTCTACGGAGCATGGTTCTATTCTGATACACGTGGATTCTCCATGAGTTGGAATGTACTCAATGGCAACTGGTTTGATAGATAATATATAGTATATGGAGCCCTGGTGGTACAGTGGTTAAGAGCTTGGCTGCTAACCAAAAAGTCAGCAGTTTGGACCCTCCACGTGCTCCCTGAAAGCCCTATGGGGCAGTTCTACTCTGTCCTCGAGGGTCACTGTGAGTCGGAGTCGACTCAACGGCAACAGGTTCTTTGGTTATATAGTATATAAACCCATAAATGTGTCTATGTATTTTCTTACTAAATGCCAGACACTGTTCTAAGAACTGTTACGAGTACTCAACCCTCTTCACAGCCCCTTGAGGTGGGTCAGGCACAGAGAGGTTACATAGCTCATTTAGGGTCACACTGCCAACAAGAGGCAGAGCTGGGACTTGAACTCTGGCTGTCTGGAGCCAGAGTCTGTGCCCTTAGCCGCCACATTAGATCGCCTTTCCATAGTGTGGCACGTGAATGATGGTGGAAAGAAAACTCAGCCTTGGGCAAGTCACACCACCTCTCTCGACATCAATAAAGACAAGGGGCTGGTGCAGGCGACGTCCGAGAGATTCTAAAATACTTCTGTTGTGCCTCAGTATACTGGGATCCCCCGCCTGAACAGAGCTTTGTTTCCTGCATCACGGAGTTTTTCCACATTAAGAGGTTGCCATAAGAGCAAGAGTATGTTTAGTTTAGAACACAGAATAGGGCAGTAGAAATCTCAAAAGCCAACAACGCACAGACAAGGGCCCTCTAACCATGGCATCCCATAGCTGTCGAGTCGATTCTGACTCACAGAGACCCCACAGGACAGAGTAGAACTGCCCCATAGGGTTTCCAAGGAGCCGCTGGTGGATTCAAACTGCCGACCTTTTAGTTAGCAGCCGAGCTCTTAACCACTGCACCATCAGGGCTCCAGCTGTGCCATGCACCCCCTTACCGTGACCCCACTCCTAGCAGCCGGGTCTTCTAGAGAAATCTGAGCATCTGCCACTCTCATCGCACATGAGGCTAAGAACGACAGAAGCTTTCGTTCAGCTCCCCATTTTTCTAAGGTGTTGCTCTTATAGTCCAATACTCCCCATCCCAGCCCCATCCTTTACTCCTCCCCGGGCCAATGAATGTGTTAGGATATGAAGTGTATGCAGGTGGCACGGGGAAGATGGGTTGGGCAGGGATACGGCCATTTTCCTCATTTCTTCGCTGGCTCCATTTGACCATCAGTAAGTCCAGGGTCAATCAAGTGAAAGCGCCGTCCTGGAGACCTCAGCCCATCCCACATCCATGGAGGCATCAGCCTGGGCTCCTGAGATGAGCCTCATGTCAGTCAGCTGTGGTTGCAGTGTTCCTAGCTGCCAGTAAGTCAGCTCCACGTGTGCAAGTAGAACGGCTCCATAGGGCTTTCAAGGCTGCGACCTTTCAGAAGCAGATGGCCTGGCCTGGCCTCTGAGGTGCCTCTGGGTGGGTTCGAACCACCAACCTTTAGCTGGTAGTTGAGCGTGTAATCATTTCCGCTACCCAGGGACTCCATACGTCGGTCAGCTATCACTGCACACCAACCACAAAACCTCCACGGCAGATGAGAATCAGCGCTTGTTTCTCACTCACGCATCCACACGTCTGCTGGGTTTGGCTGATCCCGCTGGGCTCGGCTGCAGGTTGGGTTCAGGTCTGTTCCGTACGTCTCCCTCCTGGCACCAGTGAGCTACGCGGGACATGGTCTTCTATGGTATGACCAGAAGCACCCAGAGGGGTGGGCGGAATCAGATGATGCCTCGTGAGACCTCGGCTCAGAAGTCACCCCCTCTGTTCTCACTCCATCGTGAAGGAGACACGTGGAGCAGACCCGAGCCCAGGCTCCCGTTCACTCGCACTTACTCACACTCCCCTCGCTTCATCGCCTGCTGCTGCTTTGTGAAGGTCATTAACTAGCCTTTATTTTAACTTTTCATTTAAAGCAGAAACTCCAAACAAACAATCAGAAATCACAACCAGCCACAGGGGCACAGAATGGTTTGCTGAGGTCGGCAAACGAGAAACTCAAACCCAGATCTATCACTTCTGAGTGACCTTGTTCGCGTGACCTTGGCCCTGGACTTAAACCCCGAGTCTCATCTTCCTTGTCTGTAAAACAAGAACAGCAATAACACTGAAGGAAGCTGACCTACCAGTGCCCCTCCCATGTTCCCTGGGTCCTTACTATTTCTGCCAGCACCCACATCTTTCTCCCAGGGGCTTTCTCTGGCCGCTGAGGCCCACTCTGCCCACGTACACAGCAGGCCAGAAGTGCCAGGTAGATAAAGACCCCAGCCCACTGGCCCCTCACGCAGGACAACTGTGACGTGCGCGTTGTACGCTGTCTCCCAGAGTTCCCCAGAGGGGCCGACCTCAGTGGTCCCAGGCTTGATAACACACCTTTGTGGGCTGCTTTCTCCTCCCTCTGTCACACTCCCAACTCCCTACTGGTGTCTTCTGTATAAATTTCCGAAATAAACCACTGGTATTCAAACCCAAGCAAAGAAAAATACCTATTTTTGTGAGGATTAAATGAGAGAACGTGTGTCAAGTCCCCAGAGCAGCACTGGCCCACTGCTGATCCCATAACTGCTTACTAAGGAATAATTTACAAGTATGAGGCACGGTACGGACATCTGCCCTAGCGTCATCTTTAAAGCGACGTCCTACGGCTTGCTGATGCCTACGGTGGTTTACGGAGGAGTCCTGGGGACAACTGGACCCTCTTTTACAGTACATCGTCTTCCGGCAAAACCAAAGTTCTGGTGCCACTGCCTAGCTGGGGTACAATAATCACTGCCTCGTTACCCCACGGAGTCCCTCACTCTTCCCCAGCCCGATGAGCCACCCGATGTGCATTTCCAAGGGCTCTCCTTTTCTCTCCCCCGGGGAGAAAGGAGAAATAAGCTGGGCAGTCTGGGTCTTTATTGCATTTTCTGTGTTGACGTATTATTTGTGTATCTTAACGACCTGTCCTTCCCTCGTGACTGATTATATTATCATCTATTTTTAAGTTTATTTTTCCTCTGACTGGGGTCATATAGGCACACGCAGAGCCAGGGTTTGAGTTCCTGAGCCGGTCACATGCTGACACACCAAAAAACAGAAGGGAAGAAAGGACAGCAGCTCGGCCTTCCGTAAGGAGGGGTCAGTGCCTCCTTTAGGACACGGGCAGTTATTCACAGAAGCCCTGCTCAGGCCCCTGAGCCCCCGCTGAAGGGCTCTGGAGGGTCCGACACCAGGCCGACACTGCATGTGTGTACAGAGAGCAGTTCTCAAAGTCCTCCTTGGTGACCATAAAATTCAAAACCTGAGAAAACCCAAAAACCAAAACCAAACCCGTTGCCATCAAGTTGATTCCGACCCACAGCAACGCTATAGGACAGAGAACTGCCCCGTAGGGTCTTCCAAGGAGTGCCTGGTGGATTCGAACTGCCGACCTTTTGGTTAGCAGCCGAGCTCTTAACCAAAAACCCAGGGAGGCCCAAGGAAAGTGGATACAATGTCAGCAGAGACTTCAGTCCAAAGAAATAAGTTTGGGAGAGATTAACTACAAACAGCCCAGCAATCAGAAGCAGTTTCCAGGTGACTCGGAATTAGGCTAGGAAATCCTGGAAGCACAAGCTAGCAAGCTGAAGACAACCACGGCATTTGCTGACTCCTTAAAGCTCAAGTTCGACTGGGCTAAATCACAATAGACTCAGTCGTCCTCCGTGCTCGGGCGTGCGAAGGCTCTGAGCAGGAAGCCTGAGAAAAGCACACTTTCCTTCCAAGACTCCAAGGGCCCCAGTAAGGAGCTCTTAAAACTGTAAACACGACACCTCCAGTCTCTGGGCATTTGTGTCAGGGCTCTGAGGATTGCGGGAGAGGCACAGCCGGCTTCGGGTGTCAGGAATGTCGGGGTCTTTTGCTTGTTTCTGTCCACCTATCTTGTTTTCATGTCATGACTCCTGGGTTGTCCTCTCCCGCTGCCGCAGGGCATTTGCCTCAGGGGCCTAGTGACCATTTGGGAGCTGAACCGGACTACAGAAACCACCTGGGCCAACCCCTGAATCTCCAGATGGAAACGCTCTCTCTCTGACGCCCAGAGAGGGAACGTGATTTTCCCAAGGCCACGCAGCATCTAGTATCGCCAGGAAACCAAGGTTCTGTTTTATCGCTGGTTGAGGTTCTGTAAATTTTGGTTGCGGAGACTTCATGAAGCTTGGTGAGCGCCGACCGTGGCAGAGACAGACGAGGCTGGGCAGGGCCTGGAACCACTGTCCCCTTCCCTCCTGCCTCAGTTCCCAGGCAGGGCCTCGGACACCAAGTGACACCAGACCAAAACACCCCATTGCCGTGGAGTCGATTCTGACTCATAGCAACCCGAGGGCTTCCAGGGCTGTAAATCCCTGTGGACACAGACTGCCGCATCTTTCTCCCACGGAGCTGCTGGTGGTTTCGAACCGCCGATCTGACGGTTAGCAGTCAAGTGCTTTAACCGCTGCACCACCAGGGCTCCTCACCAAGTGACACAGCCCTCCCCAAAGGCCATCGGGTGCAAACGGTGCTGTCTGCTCATTAGAGTTTGGGAAGCTGGGGCTGCAGAGGAGGGTGGAGGGTGTCAGGATGGTTTAGGACGTGGCGTGGGAGCGGGCAGTGGGGAAAATCAACCAGCGCTCACCTTCATAGCAAGGGATCAGCGTCCTGCCTTTGGCCTGGAGGTTGGACGGGATGACGTAGCAGAAGCCGTGCGGCAGGATGTGGTCTGCCTCGTAATAGATGTTCTTCCAGCGATGTGCACAGGCCTGAAGAGACAGAGAGGGCTTCAGAGCAGGAAAGCTGGCCCCAGGAGGCACGAAGCAGCCCCTGGCAGTGCCAGGATGCTCTGCAGGAGGAGAGGGGAGCAGAGGGCCGGGAAGCCATCCCCTCTCCCCCGTCCCCAACTACGTCTCACACCGGGCGCCGTCCTGAGCATCAGAAAACAGCGTGAACAAGATCAAGTCCTGTCCTCACGCAGCTTTGATGCTGCTGGGAGGAGACGGACAATGGACAACCACGGAAACACCTGAGAGAGTTACTATGGCTGGTGCCGAGGGCTAGAAAGGAAGGAGGCGGGGATACGGAACAGAGAATCGGGGAGTGGACAGGACAGTTTTCACCGGGAGGTCAGGGAAGAAGAGAAAGAGGCAACCACACTGGGCGCGCCGGGACCAGCGCTCTGGCAGGATGCAATAACAGGTGCAAGGATTCGAGGTGAGGAAGGCTGGGAGATTGGAAGGAAAAGGCGGCCAGCGGGGCTGGTCTGGAGAGAGCACGGTGAGGGTGGGGGGTGCTGAGGTCAGAGGTGAGCAGGGGCCAGGCCACAGGGGGCCCCACAGGCCATGAGACAAACTGCCATTTTAGGGTACGTGCAATGGGAAGCCCCCTGCAGAGTCTTAAGCAGGTGAGCGGCATGATCTGATCTCCAGCTGGGAGGACAGCTCAGCTGCTGGGTGGAGGCTGTAGGTGAGCCAGGGCGGAGGTGAGGGCCCAGGTGAGACGATGCTGGCCTGGACCAGGACGGGGCGGTGGAGACGAGTGGAGGAGAGGCTTCAGGATGATGGCGGGTGGTGGGGGGAGAGTAGGAGACCAGGTGCCGAACACGACAATCACCCAACACCCACCCAGGGCCTGGGGCCAGGATGGGTCTCCTGTATATGCCCCATGTGTGCATGTATGCATTGATTCATTCGTCATGGATTTATTAAGCACCTACTATGTGCCAGGCAGGCCCTGGTGGCCCAGTGGTTAAGAGCTCGGGCTGCTAAACAAAGGGTCAGCAGTTTGAATCCACCAGCCGCTGCTTGGATACCCTATGGGGCAGCTCTACTCTGTCTATAGGGTCCCTGTGAGTCAGAATCGACTCGACAGCCGTGGGTTTGGTCATTTAGGTTAGGCAGACACTGAGGACACAGGTGTGAACAGACAGCCTGGTGGGGAGAAGACGTCAAGGAGACAAGAAGCCCCTCCTGCGCCCACCCACTGACCCACTGTTTCAGCAGGGGGCCCCCATCAAACGTCACCGTCTGTCAGAATCACCCAGAAGCCTCACTAAAACACAGACTGCGGGGCCCCTCCCCTGAGGTCCTGACTCAGCAGTATGGGGGGAGCCTGAGAACGTGCCCTTCTCACAAGCTCCGGGGGATGCTGGGGATGATGGTCTGCGAGCACACTCTGGGAACTCCAGTTCAGGGTCACTTTGGGGCCAGGGATCAGGTTGAACCATATGAAATTGCCAGCATTTGACTTTTTAACCTACAAAAATACCTCAACATGCTCATCACCACTGTTGTTGTTGGGTGCTCACAGCGACCTCGTGTGACAGGGTAGAACCTCCCACAGGGTTTTCTTGGCTGTAATCTTTATGGAAACAGATCGCCAGGTCTCTCTCCCTCGGAGCCGCTGGGTGGGTTCGAACCGCCCACCTTTAGGTTAGTAGTCAAGTGCAAAATGTTTGTGGCACTCAGGACTCTAATACCTCCATACTACTAATAATGAAAAGTGTTTTTAAAAAATGTTCAGTTCTGACTCCATTCGGATGGCTTACAAGCTTGAGCCACTTAATATTACTTCATTAGCAGGTAAATTAATCATACTCTATTCTATGGATTCAAGGAGCTCTGGTGGCACAGTGGTTAAGTGCTCAGCTGCCAACGAAAAGGTCAGCAGTTTGAACCCACCAGCCACTCCACGGGAGAAAGATGTGGCAGCCTGCTTCCATAAAGATTTACAGCCTTGGAAACCCTATGGGGCAGTTCTACTCTGTCCTACAGGGTCGCTATGAGTCGGAATGGACTTGACGGCAGGGGATGGGTTTCATGGATTCGGTAAAGCCCTCGACTTCTAGGGCTTCACGTCTCTCACTGTCTTTCTGTGCTGAGGCACCGTGCAAGGAGCGGATGTTTATAATGGCGCAGTCTCTGAAAGCCAGATGCACACTAGACGCTTGTGAGGAAGGAGTTGCTGCACGTCATGTCTGGTCGATTGTCTCTCCATTTTATTAAGCGCCATAAATTGTTTTTAAGAAGGATCTTGGAGAATTCCTAGAACATCCAAGCACTGCCTTTCACACTAAACTGAAATCAAGGCATTCCGTGAGTCAGAGACCAAAGTGACAAGGGCAGGATCCATGTGGGAAACACAGAACAGCGTCTCCAAATATAAATTACAGAAAGAAAAGACCATATTTCGTCCTGATTATCATTATATATACACACGCACCAATCAAAAATAAATCCTAGGGACTGTCTCAAAGCGTGACATCCGTCCCTCTGAATGAGTTCTGGTGTGAGGGTGACATGGGGGCAGAGCTGGAAAGACAGATAGAAAACAGGGTGCAATCTCTGAAAACAGCAAGACTTGCTCAAACACCACCAGATTCCAAACAGCTTAAGAAAGAAAGGGGATGTAGCATTACCCCAAATCTTAGAATCTGACATACTCAAGTTATAAGGATTGTTTTTCCTCCCAAAAGATGAAAAAGAGGAAGAAAATGAGCAAATTTATTTCAAAGGCCTTTTTTGTTATATGGAAACAGCACATCCTTCCTGGGGGCGAGGTGGGTGGGTACTGGGCGTCTCCTGCTGGCTCAGCCACGAAGGCACGTAAGCCCCCCACTGCACCCTATACTTTCACCCACACAGATGCCTCCAGGTCCACGTCGCACAGCCTGGGCCAGGCCTGGCTGCAGAGAGCTGCAGGTGATCGGGAGCAGGTTGGAAGCGAGGCTGTGAGATGCCAGGATCGTGATGCCCCAAGGCCCCTAAGAAGCTCCCCACCAAGGGGAGGGAGGGAGGGACCAAGGAAGCCATGAGAGGACCGTCTGGGGTGCTGGGAGTGTTGTTCTGAGAATGCTCCCCCAGAGGAAATTCACCGAGGTTACACTGATGACTTGTGCGCCGAGGGCATGTGTGTTATCATTCAATAAAGCGTTCCCTGAGAAAAAGCAAACCAGGAAACAGAGCGACAGAAGTAATGCAAAACGTATCCCATGACTTTGAAAACCTGGGCAGACGGGAAGCGGTGAAGAGATGGAGGTAGCCCTGATGTTTAGGAAGGAAACGACAAGGAGACAGAGCTAGAGAACAGTTCCCACCCAGCAAAAAATCTAGAAGCTGAAATTATTTGTTGTCTGAGTCCTGGAGACTTAAGAAAAGCAGAACATCAAACTCGAATGTCTGAAGTTGCCCACCAGGGCCAGAGAGAAGCACTTTCTGGATTTGGTCAGTGGTTACCCTGAGAACTGATTTTTCCTTCCTCTTTCTTATAACATCATCTGCACACTGGGAACGCAGGGTGAGAGTGGGAGAAAACTTCCAGTAAGTCCCAGCTAGCAACTGGAAGAGCTGGGCTCTGAACTCGGGCAGATCTGTCTGCTCCATTCCCGACGCTGTCTTCACACCTGGTGTCATTGATCCCTGGGAGAACAATGGAAGGGCTACCACACCCGTGGAGCCAAGACTGGCAGGTACTAAGGTGATGCCTGCTTGCCAGGCTGGCCAGCGCCCTGGGCCTTGCTGGAGCTGGTTGTTTTGTCCGTGGTCCAGAAAATCCCATTTGTCATTGAGACACTTTAAGTCCCTGTCACAGCTTTCAAATTCCCCCATCTGTTCTTCACTTTGAAATCAGCACCAGATGCCATTTTCAAAAAAGCAGACACCCCACCTTTGTTGTCTTCAAACCCAACACTATGCTCCTGGGAGGCCACCCTTGGGGACCGAGGCCTAGTGCACCACACTCCCAGGCACCTCTCGATTTCTCAGAAATATGTTTGAACAACACATATCTTCCTATTTTTAATTTTTAACAGATTAACACTTGCCTCCCAGCAAGCTTTGACAGTAGAACTGAGAGATCAAAGACCAAGCCAAATGATACGTGAGGTCGCCACAATTTAAATACCGACCGAGGGGCCACTCTCTGTATCTTGTCGTCAACTGTCACATCCAAGGGGCATTTTACCACGTTTCACCTCATGCTTCCAGTAGCCACTGAGAATCAGCCGCCGAGAGGAAGATGGCTAATAAGTCGCCTTCTGATGGTTTCAGCATTGACACTTAGGCCCTTTACTGTTCAAACACACTTTTAGATGCTGCTCTATTCCCTGGAGATGCCTCCCCAGGCACTGGGGGTGAGAAAGGGTAGAAGATTTGGTCTTTGCCCCCAAGTGGCTTCCGTAAAAAAGGTCACACACACAAAATAAATTATACACACAACAAAGTAACATGAGTTGAATTCCTAATGATGCGGAAGGTGCTCGTGTTGTTCCACAACAGCCCAGGAGGGGAGCATCAGATTGGGCTTCATGAGGAATGCAGATGCTAAACCAAGGAGCAAAGCGAAGGATGAGGACAAGCCTTTCCTAGCAGGAGAGCGTGTGTGCAAAGAGGGAAGCGGTTACTGTCGGATGCCTCTCTCTCCAGCACTCACATAGAGCGCCTTATTAATTAAACAGATGATTCAGTAATTGCATAAAACATGAGAAAAACAGCTCGGCATGGAATTAATTAGAACACAATTATCCACAGCACTACCCACGAATGTTCCAGCTCTGCCTTCTCGGCTTCCTTTGCTAAATCCTCCTGTGATCCTCCCTGCTGTCACATCCCCAGAGACGGCCCGTTCTTGATACCGATTTGCAGGAACACGGAGCCCTCTGCCATGCCGTCTGGAATCAAGCTCTCAGCCCCAGAGAGGCCATCCTTCCACAGGGAGAGGAAATATTTTCACAGGAGCAAACTGGCTGGAGGCTCCAGGCTCTGAGGAAGATGGCGCACTGTGCTGCCTTCAGCCCACTGTCTCCTCCTTGGTTTTTGAGAATCGTGACCTCAGGCATCCCTTTGATTTATACAGATGGAACAGCCTCTTCTTTTCTTTCTGCAGAATGGCAGACAAGCCTTCTGGCCCTTTGGGGGCCGAGCCGTCCAGTCAGTGCAGGCCACCATGTCTGGAGGAAGGCAGAGACTTGGAGAGGGTCCAGACCCAGGCAGTGACAGTGATTAAAGGACGGAAACAGGGCAAACAGAGGGTGGGAAGAGGGAGCCTCCTAAGGACCTACAACATTTCCTGTCGGGAGGCCCGCGATGTTGGCGACAGCATCCAGCTGCTTCCTCCCTCCCACAAGGGCCCAGCCAAGAGGGAGATGCTTGATTTGTGCTGAGAAAGAAGGTGGAATTTGGATTAACAGTTTCTGCCACTGACAAGTTTAACACAGAAGTAGATCCCTCAGACAGGTGATGGAAACATGTCGCCTAAATCCTTCAGAGAAGACAAACCCGTCTGCTCAGGGATGAAACAATGTATGTGTTAAGGCCTGAACCGTGTCCCCCAGAAACGTGTGTCAACCTGGCTAGGCCACGATTCCCAGCACTGGGTGGTTGTCCTCCATTTTGTGACCTGATGTGATTATCGTATGTGTTGTACATCCTTCCTGTATGATGTTAATGAGGCAGGATTAGAGGCAGTTATGTTAATGAAGCAGGACTCAACAGGATTAGGTTGTATTTTGAGTCAATCTCTTTAGAGATATAAAAGAGAGAAGCGAGCAGAGAGGAGAGGGACCTCATAGCACCAAGAAAGAAGAGCCCGGAGCGGAGCGCATCCTTGGCATGGGGTCCTTGCGCTGAGAAACTCCTAGACCCAGGAGAAGATTGATGACAAGGACCTTCCCCCAAAGCTGCCAGAGAGAGAAAGCCTTCCCCTGGAGCCGACTCCCTGAATTTGGACTTTTAGCCTCCTAGACTGTGAGAGAATAAATTTGTTTGTTAAAGCCATCCACTTGTGGTATTTCTGTTATAGCAGCACTAGATGACTAAGACAATATACGAAGCCCTCAGTTTTACAGCATGTGGTCCAAAGGAAGCCCTCAGTAAGGGTCAGCTAGCGGTCGTCTAGTTTCCCTTCTCAATCTTATGCTTTCAAGCATAAGCCAATGAACAGCAGGAAAGGTCTATGAAGTCAGCGGTGAGGGAGTGCTGACTGGGAAGGGGCCTGGGGGAACTTTCTTGGGCATTATGCATGAGTGTAGGCATATGAGGAACATTACCACACTGTAAACTCAAAGTTGTGCGTGTTAAGTACTTTAGTTTTATACTTCAACAAAAAACTTTGTAAAAGAGAAAACAAAACCTGCCACAGTTAGAAATTCCATTTTTTGTTGAGTCCAATAAAACGTTCTGTGGTGATAAAAACATTCTCTCTCTGGTTGCCCGACACAGTAGCCACCAGCCATACATGGCCGTTGAGCACTTGGAATGTGGCTAGTGTGACTGAGGAAGTGAATTTTTTATTTAAGTTTGATAAATTTAGATAACTACATGTGCTGGCAGCTCCCTTACTGGGCAGTGCAATAAGGAAGACATGGACAGTCTCAAGGGCAAAGATGTCTTCTTCTTTGTCTCTCCCCCAAAGCACCTCATGGATCAGGATACATCATATGTTCTTTGGGAGTCAAAGAAATGACTAATTAAAAATAACAACATATACTTCATAAAATATCATGTAGGAATAAACAGAAATGAATTACTGATAGAGATAACATGGAGTAATCTCAAAAATATTATTTTGAGGAAAGAAGCCTTAAGATTCCATTTATACAAAGTTCTAGAAAGCATAAGTAATCTGTGGAAACAACAAATTGTAACAATGGTTGCCTCAGGGGAGAAGGGAGCTGACAGAAAAAGGACATATGAGAACTTTTGGGGTTGGTGGAAATACTCTGTATCTTGATGGGGTAATGGTTAACCCAAAAGCAAACCCGTTGCCATCAAGTCAATTCCAATGCATAGTGATCCTACAGGACAGAGCAGAAATGCCCAACAGGGTTTCTAAGGCTGTAATCTTTATGGAAGCGGACTGACACACCTTTCTCCTGCAGAGCAGCTAGTGGGTTTGAACTGTTGACCTTCGATTAGCACTTTTACCCACTGCACCACCCAGGGTGATGGTTACACAGATGTAAACAATTATCAAAACCCAAAACTGTGCTCTTGAAATCTGTGCATTTTATGCAAATTATACATCAATTTAAAAAGACACAAAAAACACTTATATAATGCATGAGATTCACAAAGCACTTTTCACATACATTTAACCTGTCATTTTTCAATAGCCACATATCAGCACCTTGGGCCAGACATTACTGGCGTTTGACAGATGAAGAGAATAAGAACATTAATCATTTGTCCAAGTAGTAGGCTCAGAATAGCCAAACTCAAAGTCACACCCTTGTCACCACGCCATGCGACCTTCTTAATGGATCAGAGTCATTCATTCTCAGAGTGTCCTCTCTTCCCATAGCACCCTCCCCAGAGGCCTTACCAGCACGTGGCCGTCAGCCTTGGGCTGCCTAGCCAGGCTCACCCCCATCCACTCATCATCCCGGTCCTCCCGGCAGGTCTTTCCACAGGGTGTGCCCCGATTCTTCCCTGGCGGAAAAAGAGAAAATCCAGGCTTGGGTTAAGGAGTGGTGTTTTGCTGGCTGCTTCTCAAAAGGTGGCCCAAGCCCAAACATTCGTTCCTAGGCCATGAGGAGGTAAGGAGCTTGCAACAAAATGTAAATCAACTCCATCACTACGTACACTGTTTAATTCAACCAACTTTTTTTTCATAGCAAGACTTTCTCAATGAAGGAAGCAGTGCCTTGATTGATGTTCCAAAGCAAGCTCCTTAATTTTTTATGTACCAGCAACCAACAGTTCGCAAACCAACCAGTAGAGAACACCTCTCTAGGGCCCCTCTCCTTTTCTGCTAAAGAAAATCATGACAACTCTTCATTTAAAAAAAAAAAATTAGAAGATCTTGATGGGAAAGGGCTATGGAGAAAGTGAGGGCTTGAAGTGATAATTAAATAAAATAGCTCCTTTTTATTGAATACCTACTAGGTGCTAAGTATAGTCCTGTGTACTTACCTCTATTACGTCACTTAATTTTCTCAAGGTAATCCTTGTGATATAGGTATTTTAGTCTTCACTTTACAGGTGAGGGAGCTGAGGCCTAAGAAGCTATGGGACATTTCCAATAAGTCCCAACTAGTAACTGGAAGAGCTAGGCTCTGAACTCAGGCAGATCTGTCTGACTCATAAGATGATACGTTTTCCACTGGACAAAAGTGAGCTTTTCAAAACATCTATCAGATTATATCTTTCCCTTCTTAAAATATAAAACCTGCAATTGCTTTTAATGGTCTTTCGTTTGTACACAGAATAAAATCTAAACACCTTACCCTGACCTGCTAGGCCCTGTGTAATCTAGCCCCAGCCTACCTCTCCAATCTCATCTGCATCCATCTCCACTGGATCACCACTCCAGTTACTCTGTCCTCGCTCTGTGCTTCAAAATGGCACACCACCTCCTCTGCTTGGGAGCTCTGCCTCTCCTACTTGGCCAGTAGTGTGTAAAGATCACTTCCCCTTTCCTGACCCTCTAGTCTAGATTAGATCCACCACCCACTTCCCCTCTAGTCTTTTCTCCCTCAATTATTTGTTTTAATGTCTCTCTTGCCCACTAAAAAGCAAGGCCCAGAATAGCAGGAACCTTGTTTCTTTTGTTCACCATTGTATCTCAGTGTTTAATAAGTAATGGGTACTCAATACATATTTTTTAGATGTATGGATGGATAGGTGGATGGAGGGATGGATGGGGTGGGTGAGAGGGTGGATAATGGATGGATGGTGGATAGATGGATGGATGGGTGGGTAGGTGGGTGGATGGATGGATGGGTGATGAGTGGGTAGGTGGGTGGGTGGATGGGTGGGTCCGAGGGTGGGTGGGTAGGTGGGTGGATGGGTGAATGAGTGGGTGGATGGGAGGGTGGGTGGGTGAGTGAATGATAAGGTCACCCTGGGAAGGAAAAGAAGAAAGGGTGAAGGTGCAGAGCCCATGTCCACCTTGGCAGTGACGTCCACTCACAGACCTCAAAGAAAAGTTTCACCCACCTCGAGCCATGTCCAGTTCGGTGCATCTCCGATCCGGGTTGGTGTGTACACGGCACTTAAACACAGCCCCAGGGGATTTCACGGAAGTGCTGTACTTGGAATCTGCCTTTGGTGCACCCACAAGGACCCTGCACATCAGGAAGAAAGCGCATTGTCACAACCCAAACCTGGAAAGGGGAGGAAGATGAGAAAATCTTCACCAAGCAACAGGGTTCTGTCTGAATGCTCACTAGAAAACCATACACCAGCGTGATATGTGGTGTGTGTGTGTGTGTGAGTGGGTGTGTGGGTATGAGTGTGTGTGGGTGTGAGTGGGTGTGAGTGAGTGTGTTGTGAGTGTGTGTGTGTATGCATGTGTGTTGGGGTTGAGGGGAGCACCTACAGTGAGCCTGTTAGATCGTCTTCAGGCACATTAAAAGCTTAAGGGATGGTTGGAATATACACAACCAACAAAGGGTTCCCATCCAGAATCTATAAAACTAAAACTCCTAAAAATCAATACGAAAAAGACAGACAAAGCAATAGAATAACGGGTCAAAGACTTGAATGGGTACTTCACAAAAGAAAATATCTAATGGCCAATAAACATCTGAAAAAGTGCTGAATCATATTAGTTAATAAGGAAATCCAAATGAGATACCACTTTACACCTACCAGAAGGCTAAAAGCAAAAAGATTGAAAATGTCAAATGTTGGCAGGGATGTGGAACAACTCTGACACTGCCGCTGGGAGTGTAAACTGTTACAATCACTTGTAAAAACTGTTCAACGTCTTCTAATAAAACTGAACATACGCTTACCAGCATATTCCACTTCTAGGAATATAACCAATAGAAATGCAGACGCATGTCTACCAGAAGACGTACAAAACTGTTCGCATATGAATATGTAATAGCCAAAAACTAGAAGAAACCCAAAGGTCCATCAACGTGAGAATGAATAAATAAATCATGGTACAGTCACACAACAGAATTCTATAGAGCAATGAAAATAAATTAGCATCGTTCAACTACAGCCAAACCAAAACCAAACCCGTTACCGTCAAGTCAATTTTGACTCATAGCAACCCTACAGGACAGAGCAGAACTGCCCCATAGGGTTTCCAAGAAGCGGCTTGGTGGATTCTAACTGCTGACCTTTTGGTTAGCAGCCGAACACTTAACCACTGCGCCACCAGGGCTCCTCAACTACAATCACACAGGTTTAATACCATACTCACTGTCTGATTTCATTTATCTAACATTCAAAAGCAGGCAAAATTTGACGGTGATGTTAGAAGTCAAGATAATGGCTACCTTTACAGAAGAGAAAGGGAGATTTTGACTAGGGAGAGAGGGTTCCTGGGAGTACTGGTAATGTTCTATTTTTCAACCCAAGTGGTAGTCACACAAATTTGTAACACTTCATTAAATTGTATACTTATGATAGGGGTACTTTTTTGAATGTGTGTTACCCTTCAACTAAAAAAAGAATTTTTTTTAAGTCAATTTTAAAAAATGAGAAATTTAAAGTTACCATTTCTTTTCTGTCTGCCCTCCTTCCCTCACCTCACGAACACGCACCACATGCATTTAGAGGGAAACAGAAAGAAACAGCAGGGGGTGCAAATAGTCTGCACTCAACTACTAACAGAAAGGTTGGCAGGTCAAACTCACAGCGGCCCCCCGGAAGAAAGGCCTGGTGATAGGCTTCCATGAAGATTACAGCCAAGGAAACCCTGTGGAGCAGTTCTCCTCTGGAACATATGGGGTTGCTGTCAGTCAGAATAGACTCAGTGGCAACTGGTTTGGGTTTTGGGGGGCTTTTTTTGGTTTAGCAGTGGTGTGGAATTATAAACTGCATCCTTTATCCCAACACAAAACAGGGATAGGTATTTTGCATACAAGCAGGGGTGAGAACAAAGTTCCGCATCCTTCATCTTGAACAGACAAGCTGCCGTGGGGGCGGCGTTCCAGGCAGGAGGAACAAAGTAAGAACATGCCAAGAAGATAGAAGAGATAGGTTTGGGTCTGTGGGGGTGCAGAACGTGGAAGGGAAGATGGCAGTAAATTCCCCTCCAAATGCTACAAAAACAATTTTGACCTACAGCTTTATGCGTTGTTTCCGGAAAGCAGACAAGCGAAGATCTACAGCAAAGAACACTAAACACCACCCATCAGGCACAGTCTGTGCTGAGCTAGGAGCCATTTGGAAGAGGACTCGTACAACGAGACTTTAAACAAAACCCACACTGATTTTCAAAGAGCAGGAAATCCTAAACCGCTGCTCCATGAGATTATGAGCTGCTCCGTGTCTCTAGCTGGCTGGAACGAGGATACAGCTCACCTCCTGAGAGTACCGGGCACATTATATCCTCTCCCACGTGCCTGGGAAGAGAATGCACTGTCCATTGTGTATCTTGGAAAAAGCGATCAGCAGGGGTTAGAAGGATCCTAGACAGCTCCCTGGGCATGTGGGAAGCAGACCCAGGCTCTCCTCACTCTGTCCTGAGAGTGGCCTACATCTTGGGACCTTGGTCATTCACCCAGTCACCCCACCTTGGCCTCAGAATGATACTGCTCCCCATCAACTCTCTGGCTGGGCAAAGGCAGTGGACAGACAAGGCCCTCCAGGTCATACAACAGAAGTCAGAGACCCTCAAACAGGACTTCAGCAAAGCCTGGCAGATATCACAAGGGAAATCAACCCTAACCTGGCTTGAGACACATGGTGTTGGGATTCACACGAAGGGCCCTCCAGTGCAGACACCATCTTAATTCCCAGTGCCCTTGAGCTTCCCCCCCAGAACATGAAGGATCTCTGAGGGCACAGGGAGCGGGGGAGATCCAGCCTTACTGAAGAGCCTCCTGGGTCAGTCCTGGGGGCCCTGTGTTTAGTTCTCAGGGAGAAAGAGGCCCCACTGGGGTAAGAAAGGAGCCTGGCATCCTAACAGTGAGGGCATCCCAGCTGCCCTACGGCTCCTCGGTAATACCCTGGAAGCTATCCCTCCAGGTGCTCATTGGGCAGCCAGTGCCCCTCGGGTCTCACCATGGTGGGCTGCAGCTGCAGAATTCCCCTGCAGAACATTCCAAGCAGAAAGGGCTGGAACGCACAGACCTTTGGAAATCTGAGCAAGCACTACAGACCACACTGCCTCCGTCAGCCCCCCAAGGGCTGTGCGGCTGGCCCTCGGCTGCTCTAGTTCAAATGCGGGATGGCCCCCAAAACAAAACTTCAAAGGGAAGAAAGCCACATGATGGGATCGGTTTCCTCTCCTTCTGGGACTGAGCTCTAGACCCAGCGGGGCAAGTCAAGGTTGCCCTCTCAGAACACCAGTTATGTTTTCACGGGTGAGAAGAATTAACAGTTTGACTTTTCTCAACTGCTGAAACTGCCCGCAGGCTTCCCACAAGTCGGGCTGCAAGAACTGGGGAGCACAAACTCTCTCCTCCGCTCGAAAACGCGAGTGGGACAGGGATGGGCCCCAAAAATCCCACCAGCTCCAAGCACAATGAATAAATGACACTTGCAATTCATTTGATAAAAATCACAAAAAATAAACAAAGGGGAGAATTCATCACGTGTGAGGGAAGGGAAATGGCCACAAGAAACAAGTTATTCCTCTACGGAGCCCCCCAAATTGGTAACCAAACCAAAAAAACCAAATCGGTTACCGTGGAGTTGATTCCGACTCATAGTGACAGACAAGAACTACCCCGCAGGGTTTCCAAGGAGCAGCTGGTGGACTCGAACTGCCAACCTTTTGGACAGCAGCTGAGCTCTTAACCACTGTGCACTAGGGCTCGAAATTGGCAGCAGAACCCTGGAGATTTCAGACAGGGCCACTGCTCTGGATTCACAGACAGGAATTTGCAGGCTATCCAAGCAAGAAGGGACCCCTGGAGAGCTTAAATCCCAGGCACTGTTTCTCCCAGCCTAGCGCCAAGACTGAGAAGGGCAAACTTCCTACCAAAATCTAAAGTGGAGGAGGGACCTGCTGAATTCCATCTTCTTTCCAAGCCTACAGTAGCCAACAGTTCTAAAAACAATGGCTAGTTCAAACCCCGACCACACCACACAGGTTCAAACCTCTAATCAGTGGGTCAGAGGAGAAGGTTTTCCCCACATCCTGTGCCAGGGGGCCTGAGCGGTAGATAAGGGGCATGTGTGCACATGTGCAGGACGCTCCTGGGGGGACGGTGGAGAGCAGTTGTATCTCTGTGTTTACAGAACACCCTGGCTCCCTCTGCAGCCCGGCACTGCTCTTTACCTAGGCCGCCGTCCAACAAGGCTGCCGCTGCAGGCCAGCTGACGAACGTGTCCTTCTGAAGTTAATTCAGCTGGCTGCTCGCCAGACCGATCCCAAGAGATAGAGGGCTTACAATGGCCCTGAGTTCAGGACAAGCGGCTGAAAAGATGCCATCTGCTTTTCTTCCCGTCGCTCTCCAAGTTACAGAGAGACATCCTAGCCACTTCAAACGTCCCCCGAAGTTGTCCCTGGCACTATTAACAAGACCACGACAAGCTGTTTCTCCTCTCTGGACAGTTACTGCATAAAAGGGCCTGAGCGTCCCCAGTGACAGGCTCCCAGCGATAAATCAGCAGGCTGAGCCTCGCCTCTGCTCGCTTCTCCACGTGTGGTCCTCGGACCAACAGCATCAGGGACGCCGGGGCCCCATCCCCAGCCCGCTACATCAGAACATGCATTGTAACAAGCTCCCCAGGTGGTAAGGTCTATAAGCACCTACACTGATTACAGATGATCGTGTTCATTCGGGACCAGGATGACCAGACCACCCTTGAGAAGAGAGGCTCTCCCATCCCATCCCGACTTAAAGGTGGACTCAAATTCCAAGGTCATTTTGGAGTCCTCTCATTAACTCAGAACTCTGGATTCCTTATCGTCATGTACAAGGGAAGCAAAACGACCACAAGAAACAAGTTGTTCCTCTACTGACCCCCGAATTGGCAGCAGAACCCTGGAGATTTCAGACAGGGCCACTGCTCTGGATTCACAGACAGCAATTTGCAGGCTATCCAAGCAAGAAGGGACCCTGGAGAGCTTAAATCCCAGGCACTGTTTTCCCCAGCCTAGCGCCAAGACTGAGAAGGGCAAAATTCCTACCAAACTCAAATTCATATCGAAAGCACAGCATGTAGCAGACACAAATAGTGTGCGGGGGCTAGGCTAGGCTCGTGGTGGGCAGTGTCTCATTTAATCTCCACAGCAACTCTGTGGGAGGCACCGATATTTTCCTTACCTTACACCTGGGAAAACAGGTAGCCAGAGAAGGTCCCCCAGGCTTTCCCGAGCCCGTAGGATGTGTCAATACCCCAGGCCACAGCATGAACTCAGGCGAGCGGTACACCCACTCTGCTGTTCTGCCGGCCCCACACCAGCCAGCGCCATGCATCTTAAAGAGAGGAGGAAAAGGGAACCAACAGGTAACCAGAGCCCACCCTGGTGCCAGCTGTGACATCACCTGAAAAAACCCACCTGAGCTCTGATTTGGAAGCTCTGCCACATCAGACTGGGGTTTGGAACAGACCCACCAGGCTCAAACGGCCCACAAGGAATTTCAATCACCTTCTTGCTTTTCTGGAGCCCTGGTGGCACAGCGGTTAAGAGCTCAGCTGCTAACCAAAAGGTTGGCAGTTCTAATCCACCAGCTGCTTCTTGGAAACCCTATGGGGCAGATCTCCTCTGTCCTACAGGGCCGCTATGAGTCGGAATCAACTCGATGGCAATGGGTTTGGTTGGGGTCTTGCTTTTCTAAAAGCCTGCATTGCTGGTGTGGTGTTGACCAGGGGTTTGCCTCTCTTCATGAGCAGTTCCCTCGCCTATCTGGCAATGTGGGCCTATCAGTTCATCTGCTAGCACCAGTATGTTAACAGGTTATCTGCTTTTGCTCAGGGCAATCCTGCCAGGCAGGTCCTTGGATGCCTTTCACCCAGAGATGGTGGAATACATGGGGAGTGTCACACTGCAGGTAAGAAGTAGAGCTGGGACTTGAACCCAGGGCGCCCAAGTCCAAGGGCAGGCTCTTTCCTGCCCCGTCTGTTCTCCTCCTACCGTAGCAGTGTGAAGGCCCGGCCCTTAAACGCCCCACGGTGGGCTGTTCATAGCACCATTTCTCCAATGAAGTCACTTCCTTAGGTGACTCGGGCAGCCAGCTGGCTGCAAAGTCTCCATTCTAGCCCCCACCCTGCTCTGAAACCATCTCTCACGCTCTGAGCTCCAACGGCAGGTAAATTCCCTGGAGAGCCAGGGCAGAGAGGGCTGAGCCACAGCTGCCTCCCTGGGGAAGCTGGGAGCTGACCATGTCTCAAAGGCTCCATCCCTCCCCACAAATGCCACAGCGGGGATCCCATGGGGCAAAATCACAGCCAGGTCCGGGACAGCAAATGGGGATTAAAAACCTTAAACCCATTAGATTTGCTTTCATCCATTTGATGGCGAAGCCAAAGCTTCCCCAGAGACCCATGTTTTAGTTACATGAGTTGAATTCAATCACTGTGTCTGCAGTGGTGAAGCTGGGAATCGCTCCACATTCCTTACTGGGCAGGAAAGGGCTGCAGCTTGAGATGAGGGAGAGCCACCTCTGACGGCACAGACGCTTCGCTCCCAGAGGAGGCCAGCGTGTCCAACTGGGGCCCGGGGGGCCCGAAAGGCCTCAGAAGCTCCTCATTTTACATTTGGGGAAACCGAGTCTCCAGGTGTTTAAGGAAAGGATATTTACTGCTTCCTGTTGTTGTCGTTAGGTGCTGTCGAGCCGGTTCTGACCCACAGTGACCCCGTGTACAACAACGAAACACAGCCCAGTCCTGCGCCATCCTCACAGTCATTGTTATGCTTGAGCCCACTGTTGCAGCCACTGTGTCAGTCCATCTCATTGAGGGTCTTCTCTTTTTCGCTGACCTTCTACTTTACCAAGCATGATGTCCTTCTCCAGGGACTGGTCCCTCCTAATAACATGTCCAAAGTACGTAAGATGAAGACTAGCCGCCCTCGCTTCGAAGGAGCATTCTGGCTGTACTTCTTCCAAGACGGATTTGTTTGTTCTTCTAGCAGTCCGTGGTATATTCAACATTCTGCTTCCTAAGGTTTTTAAACTAATAGTCCCACTGGGTCCTAAGCTTTGAGGGCAAGATACTCAGGGTGGTGAAGTGTGAGGAGCACAGGCGGTGACAGTGGGTTCAAATCCTGCCTCTAGGACCGACAAGCTGTTGGACCACAGACAAGTTTCTTAACCACTCTGAACCTCAGTTTTCCTCCTCTGTAAAATAGGAGGAATAAAAATATACCTCATAGGGGTTCTTGTAAGGTTTAAATAAAAGTCATGTTTACAGAGCATCTACCATGGTACCCTGTACAAAGTAGGTGTTCAAGAAATGTTAGAACGTCGGGCAGTGGGTCAAACACCTCGGCACCCAACGTCTCCCTGCTCTACTTCTCAGCAGGAGCTCACAGATCCTTAGAACCTTAGTCCCTTTTCTTGTATGCAGGGCAGCAATGTATTCAGATCCTCAGTGGAGATACAGAAATCCAGGGATGGCCAGGACACTTTCACCACCAGTAGCGTAAACTGCAAAGGTGGCCACTCTTCTCCACCCTCCCTGTATCCATGCTCTTTTCGATGTGAACTGCAGCTTCTTCCATCAATAAGACAATAATAATAATTAGAGTGCATTTTCTCCTCTCTTCCTCCAGCCCTATAACATGCATTGGCCAACTGAACATAGCAGGAGGAGTAAGGTTTGACTTTCAAGCCCATCCTTCAGGAGACCATGCAGGCACCTACAGATGAATGAGTGAGACCCGCTGGGACAAGAAGAACCACACAGCTGAACCCAGCCCAAACTGCCAACCACAGAATCATGACCTAATACATGGTAGGTGTTTAGACCACTGAAGGAGCCCTGGTGTCACCGTGGTTAAGAGGTACAGCTGCTAACCAAAATGTTGGCAGTTCAAATCTACCAGCCACTCCTTGGAAACCCTATGGGGCAGTTCTACTCTGTCTTATTGGTCACTATGAGTCAGAATCGGTTTGGTTTTCCGTTTTTTTAGACCACTGAGTTTTAGGGTGGTTTGTTATGCATAGCAGGAGCCCTGGTGGTACAGTGGTTAAAGCGCTCAGCTGCTGAGAGGTTGGCAGTTCGAACCCACTAGCCGCTCCACAGGAGGAAGATGTGGCAGTCTGCTTCCATGAAGATTTGCAGTCTTGGAAACCCAATGGGGCAGTTCTACACTGTCCTATAGGTTCACTATGAGTTGGAATCGGCTCGACGGCAGTGGGCTTTTTGGGTTGTTATGAATGGATACTGTGGTAACAGACAGGAGATACATCATCAAGTTGAGGCACGCCACCACTGAAGGGAACCAGACCACGGCACTTCCCATCACGCGCTTGTTTCTCCTGAGTCCCATCCAGATATCCAACTCTGCAGCTGAGAACTGTTTCTAGGTTCCTCTAGCTACCTGCTCTCCTTTCTCTCTTACCACCTACCAGCACCACAGACTTTTACCAAGGGCCCTAGTGGCAGAAAGGCAGGATGGTGGGAAGACAGAGTGCTGAAGGAGGAACAGTCACACCCAGGAGTATGCCAGCCCCTCTCCAGCTGTGTGACCTTGACCAAGTCCCCTGGCGTCTCCAAACCTCCCTCCGTTTCCTTCTCTTGAAAACAAAGATAATAACAAATGCACCATCCCTCCCTGTCACAGGGCCGTGGTGAAGCCTGAGAGGAAACAGCAGACAGCAAAGTGCTTTGGGGGCCCAACCTGCAAGAGAGTGGGCTAGGATCTTCTATCCGCCAAGGCCAAGAGCTGACAGAAAGGCTCCTGAAGGATGCATCAGGGCGTTTTCCTTCCTCCTTAGGAGCCTGATGCCTTGGACAGGGCTTGATGGGGGTCAGGGAGTACAGTCAGAGCAGGTCGAGAGCAGCCATATTAGTATATGCTACAGTGGGTAAAAAAAGACCAAACCCATTGCCATCGAGTTGATTCTGATTCACAGTGACCCTACAGGACAGAGCAGAACTGCCCCATAGGGTTTCCAAGGAGCAGCTCGTGGGTCAGAACTGCTGACCTTTTGGTGAGCAGCCGAGCTCGTAACCACTGAGCCACCAGGGCCCCAGGGAGAGCATCAAGTGAAGAGGAAAATCCAAGGAGAAGAACAAGATACCCAGTCTCCTTTCTTTCCCCCAGATGAATCTCACCAACAACCTGGACCCCCACTTTTACTGAGGGCCCTTACATGAGAATGGCAGGGTGGGGGAAGAAACAGCCCTGAGGAGGAACAGTCACATCCGGGGTGTGCCAGCCCCCCTCCAGCTGTGTGACACGTTCTCCTGTGGGAGATCTGAATAAAAGCCTTCACGTCTTACTGCTGGTCTCTTAGGGTTGTCTCCTCCAAAACCAACAGGTCAATATTTTACATTTCCCTTTTTTTTTTTTTTTTTTTTGCTATAACCACCACCGCCTCTTGCAACTACAGACTGACCTTCTGGACTGATCTGGAGCCTGGGATCCAGAGCTCCCCGTAACAGGTGGCCTCCCACCTGCTCCCTGGCTATGCAAGGAGAGAAGGAAGAGGGATTTGATCTAGAACTTACAATCCCAGCGTCTCCCATGAAATGAGGCACCTCAGATCCGTTTTAGGAGCAAGCAGGGTGTGAGTGAATCCGCAGAAATTCAGAGTTAGGTAGAGCAAGACCAAAATTCTAGAAACTATACTTAATTAAGAGTGTATCTTATAGAAAAGAATATTTCATTCATTTCTGTATTCAGTGCTGTTGTCATTGTGTGCCATCAAGTCGATGTTGACTCATAGTGACCCTACAGGACAGTAGAACTGCCCCATACGGTTTCCTAAGCTGCAATCTTTATGGGAGCAGATCACCAGGTCTTTTCTCCCATGGAGCTGCTGGTAGATTCAAACTGCCGACTTTTCAGTTAGCAGTCAAGCACGCTTAACCACTGTACCACCAGGGCTCCTTGTATTCAGCACAGACGCTCCAAATGTTGATAAATGAGTGAATCACAAAATGGAATGAAAGCAAACTCCTTTAGCAATCTAAAGTCAAGATAAAAAAATAATCCCTGTCAGAAGTCAGATCAAAGTAACAACAGAAATAACTATTAATATTCAGAGCCCTGGTGGTGCAGTGGTTAAGAGCTCAGCTGCTAACCAAAAGGTCAGAAGTTCGAATCCACCAGCTGCTCCTTGGAAACCCTATGGGCAGTTCTACTCTGACCTCTAGGGTCGCTATGGTTCAGAATCAACTCGACGGCAACGGGTTTCAGTGGGGTTACTAATAATCATCAGGGGCTTACTATGTGCTACTCATCACGTTCAAGGCTTTGCAGACATCATCTCATTTGACACTCCCAACGACCTGATGAGGGAAAGACCCCTGTGACCGTTTACAGGAGACAGAAACAAGGACCAAACACCTACAGGAACTTGCCAAGATAACA